ATCCCAGGCTTTGGTTCAGAAATGCAGTCAGCAGAGCGCTGTTGGCCCCCTGAAGGAAACGGGGTCAGAGAGAAATATCTGTGGCCATCAGCAGGGCCTCACGTTCTCAGGTTCTCAGACTTGGCTGTTCCCCGGCACAACAAAGTCAGTTATAGCCAGAGGTGACTTCAGTGACCAGAACACCACTTGCACAGATACACATAGTACTTAGGTGAGCTCTCTGCCCCCACCTACCTACCGGCCTAAAGGAGTCAGTCAGTGTTTGGAAAGCTCTGGGAACAGTGGCTAGCCGCCTGGGAGTACCACATTAGGGTTAAATAGGTAAAACCAGAGCATCCCAGGCAGAGTGGATCCTGCTTCAAAGACAACCAGAGGTGTCACTCCCATGCTGGGGAGACAAAAAGAACTGGCACTAACCCCTGTGTTGGGTAGGTCCAGCCCTGCAGAGATGGGGGAGCACCCTATCCGTAAGAGTGGGGTCTTGCACCAGTGCAAGTCAAGAGGCTGGGCCTGAGCCAGCACACTGGCCCACATGTCTAGTCCCATCTACTCAGGAGGCTGAGGTGGGAGAATCGCTTGAGCCCAGAAATTCAAGGGCAGCCCGGGCAACACAGCAAGACCCTGCCTCAAAAATAAAAAAATAAAAAAGAATGGGTTTGGAAAGAGTCAGCAGGCCTAAAATATGAAAACTCTCACGTCCTAGGGACAGAGCTCAGTGGCAGAGCACCTGTCTTGCCTGTGCAAGGCCGTGGGTTCAACCCTAAACTAAAACATGGGAGGTCTCTTCATGCCTCTGCATCTCTGTTTCTGCTATTCTGTCCACCCTGAATGCCATTTTTTTTTTTAACTTTCAAGGCTTAATGCAAATGTCAGCAACTCCCTATGGTATTTCCTGGTGCCCCTCAAAATGAATGGCCGCCTCCCCCCACATTGCATCTGGTATAATCCCCCTTTAAAGTAGTTATCAGATAGATAGATGGATGGATGGATGGATGGATGGATGGATGGATGGATGGATAGAGACACACACATGCACAAGTGTTACAAATCATTCCAAGGCAAGGTTCAGCTTTCATCTCTGCAGCCCTCTGGCCTGACAAATAGTATAGATTCAAAAAATATCTGAATTTGTGGTTGACTTTGCTGACAGCTGGTCTTAGAATAACCAATTAATTTGGAGGCTTCAGGTAGGTACAAGCAGAAGCTCGGGTCTCAGAAGCCATGGCCGGATCAGATTTCAGCCAGGAGCCTACCAAGAGCTTCCCTTAGTCTCCTTTGCAGCCCAAGGAAAGAAGATACCTGGATGAAGGGCGGCTGAGGTCATGAGGTCGCCAGGGCCCAGACAAGAGCAGTACGCAAGGGACCTGGATCAGTGCCGCAAGGGACCTGGATCAGTGCCGTCTGAATCAGAGTTGGAAGGGAGAGCTGACCCTTGGGGAGCAGCCCTGCCCCTGCCAGCCCAGGTATGGCCTCTGGCCTGTGGCATTCCAGCCCCTGCTGCAGACCCTGGGAAGAGTGGAAAGATCAGCCCTGCTTTCTAGGAACTCACTGTCTGGTGGCAGGAGAGTGAACCCTAGGATTAGGTCCAGAGGAGTTCTCAGGGACCACAAATCGCTGATCCCTCTCAATCTGCGCCAGTCCCTGAGAATTCAGGAGGGAGGTGCTGTTTCCCTGCTCCCTCTACTACACAATGCTGATCCCCTCTGCTCAGTTATTTCCATTCTAGAAAACAGCAATTAGTCCTCTCACTCCTGGTCCCATTCCATCTTTTCCAACTCAGTTTCCTGGGGGTGGGGAAGTCAGGAGGCCTGGGCAGCAACCCTTCCAGTTCACAGTGAAAGGTCACTGTGGGTCTCAAACCTGAGACCGTCTGCCATCTTGGAACCCCAACTTCTTTCTGAGATAAGGTTTGTCTATGAACCTTGCCTCCCTTACCGGGTCCCTAAAACTTGAAGAATGTTAAAAGCTACCAAAATACCTCTGGTGTAACAGACAAAGCGAACGCTCAGAGATAGGAGGAGTGAGCAGTGTGGGATCCTGAATTTGCCTCCACGGTAACCGGGGCTCCTTCTCCTGCGCTAAGCTATCCAGAAGGGCATGCCAAGGGTCTGGCCTGGCCTGAACCTGCTGCAGGGAAGTTCACCCAGGCACCCTGTGTTTGTTGGGGGCTGGTCCAACTCAGCATCCCCACCCAGCTTTGCACCTGCCATACAGAAGCAGCTCAATCAGTGGAGCTATTCTGAAATGCCTTTAGTAACCTGACCTTTTACAAGCCCCAGCTAATGTCTAATTTGCATATATGAGTCCTTTTTAGGAGAAGGCAAATCACCAGAGACAACCAGGATCAATATAGAGTATTAGGCACGTTTTATTCTACTCTAATTCTCTGCAAATTGGTATTCCATTAACTGTATGTGGGATTTATGAGAGCTCGCTATAAACTAGAATATTTAACTAGAACAGCCTACTCTCTCCCAGATAATGGCCTACTCTTGTTAATTTTCAACTAGTCAGAAAGGTTTCCAGCTTCCAATATATTCTACATCCTGATTCAATCATGAGGAAAGTCACCCAAGTGAAGGCTTCCATGTGACAAAGGGCAGTTGGATGCACAACAGAAAGATTTGCCCTGGGACCCAGAAGACTTGGGTTACATCCCAGTTGTACCACATACTATGTAATTGGCTGCTCAGAGCCTCAGTTTCCTCATCTGTGAAATGGGAGTAACACCAGCCTCGTGGGGGAGTTGTAAAAATCAAATGAGATGATACTGGTAACTCCATACAGCTCCAGAAGGTGAAGATTATTATCATAAATGCACAGATGGGGGCTGGTAGAGTGCTTGCCTCGCATGCACAAGGCCCTGGGTTCAATCCCTAGCACCACTAAAAAAAAGGAAAAAAAGTGCACAAAATGAAATTCTCAAAAATTCTCAGAAAACAGGGATTATTTAAATTGGCAGTTTCAAAGGAGAAGGGGGGACACTAAGCCCCCAAGAGACATTTAACAATGTTTGGAGGCACAACTGAGAGATGGATTGCTACTGCAGTATACGGAGTAGAGACCAGGGATGCTGCTAAATGTCTACAATGCATATGACAGCGCCCTCAAAGAGGAACTATCAAACCCCAACTGTCAATTGTGTGAGGTTGAGAAATCCTGATCCAAATAATCGCTTAAAGTTGGGCCTGGGAGTTTTGTAGAACAAAAATCCTCCTAAACAGGCTTTACTTTCTCAAATCATCTGCTTAAACATTTGCAAGATGATCCATCTTGCAAAACAGCTCTTTTGTAAGTGAAGCCAAACTGCCAACTTCTGGAGTTTCTGAATGCATAAAACTGCTTTTAAGGAAGATGCTCTCTGATTACACTTCGGGAAATTGTTTTTCCAAAGCCTCTGCGTTCAGCAGAAGTTCTCCTGGGCACAGACAGGCCCAGAAGATGCTTTGCTAATTCTAATTTCCTGGTGAAATGGGAGCCACGAGGGTCTCTAAATGAATTAAATTCACATCACGCCAACTGCTCGCTTGCTTTGTGCCGGGCACAGAGCCAAACACCTCCACATAATTTATCCCACTTAATCCACCAACAACCCAATGAGGTGGGCATTATTACCGGCTGTTTGCAGAGGAGGAAATGGTGGATCAGAGAGGTTAAACGACTTGCCCAAGGACACCAGCTGTCCAAGGGGGAGCCCAACCTGAACACAGGTCTCCAGTTTCCGAGCCACAAGATCCTTCCATCACCTCGGGAAACCCAGGTGTCAAGTTGTCCCAACTTCCCATAAATTTTTAAGGCAACTGCAACTTCTCAGTAAGTTTAGGTGGCAGAACACGGGCATTTCCGGGGAGCTGAGCGCTCTCACCTACACTCCCCCACTGCAGCTGTCTCACCGCAGTTACCTGATAAATCATTCCCTATCGCCCGCGGAACGGGAGGGTTTATTGGCGCTGGAGTTCGTGCCAGGCCCAGGAAATGCCATCTTTGAAAGCCTAGAGGCGGCTTCGCCCCGGAGACCGAGCTCTGGCGGCCCCCGCCGGCTCGCTCCCCGCGCGCG